AGGTTGTTGATCTTTTCCCCAGCAATCTTAATTCCCGCTTGAGGTTCATCCAGGCCAGCATTTCGCATGATGTACTCTGCATATATATTAAATAAGCAAGGTGACAATATACATCCTTGTCGTACTCCTTTTCCTATGCTAAACCAATCAGTTGTTCCATATCCGGTTGTCTCAAATGTTGTTAGTCTTGAAGGTGCTACTGGACTGTTGCTCTTTTCTAAGTCAACCTTTCTAAACTAAAAGGCTTTTTATGTTTTAACCTGCAATTCCAGTCCTGTAATATCCTTTTTGAGATGTAGAAACCATAATTGTACACCATATTCCAGTAATACTGCACCAGGGACTTGTATAATGGCATTACTATACTGGCAGTTTTATTCTCAGTTCCTTTCTTGATGATTCCTAGGATGGACTTTGCTTGTTAAAATCAGTGCTGCACATTGACCTGACATTTTCAACAAACGAGTGGGGTGGAGCAGCTCCCCAGCCTCTCGTTTCTAGCTCTCACACACCACAACAGAAAGGGAGAGAGAAACAGAAAGAGAGAGAGGGACAGAGAGCGCAGACACACACAAACAAGTGAGCCCAGGATTTTCTGTATCCTGAAGCAATGTGCTCTGTGCTCTGTGCCCTGGGGCTCGCTTTCTCCTGGGTGGCTGAGTGGGTTCTCCCACCCCCACCCGAAACAAGCACTCGCTTTAGGTCCCCTGCCGCCTCCCGCTGCCCTCAAGAGTCCCACTGACTTTGGTAAAGGAGAACTCCCTTTCCCTTACAGTTCAGGACCACTTTCCCGAACGCCTCTCCTCTTCTCTTTTTTCTGTCCAATCCGTTGCCCTCCTGCTCTCCCCCACCCACAAACTTCCCAGAGTTGTTGGGAGTTAAAGCGGCGGCGGCGCCTTCCGCCCAGAGGAAAAGCCGTGCCGAATAAACTGCCCAGGCACCTTGCAAATGCAGAGCGCTCAGGGGAGAGCCCCTGGGGCTGACGAGGGAGGGCTCCTGCGGAGTAGAGTCAGGCTGGCCCAGGTCTCCTCTGAAGATATGGCATTGTGCCCCACTGAGGTCCCTGTCCTCCCCACACTCCACTGAGGTGGAAAGGAAGCAAATAGATGGGGAGAGAAGGAAGGGGGAGGGGGAGAAGCTGGGGAAAGAAAGTCAGGCTGCAAGGGAAGCAGCCTGGAGTGGGGTGGAGCAGCTCCCCAGCCTCTCCAGCTCTTACACACCTCAACAGAAAGGGAGAGAGAAACAGAAAGAGAGGGAGCTAGCAGTGCATATCTCAGAACAGGTGAACCAGACTGCAGGCCAAACAGTGCTTCTATGGCAAAGAAATCAAAGCCCATACATAATAAAAGAAACGTTTGTCTTCTGCATAGACACTGGCACCCCACACGCTTTCTGTCACTTGTACAAGCTCTTATTGACACAGACATCGTACTCTCACAGATACCACAGGTGTCTCATCCTGTGCATGTTCAGGATTAGAACAGAAGAGGTTGCAGGGGATCTAATTATGAATCAACATTTCTGTTTTAGTCAAAAGTATCTGCATATGGGTTATGAACTGAAGTATGAGGAAATGCTGAAAGATCTATAGTGTTTTGATTGCAAAGTAGGCGCCGTAGGGAAGGGTTCCATTTGGATTGGAGCTGTGCAGTGGGGAGAAGTGAGGGTAATTCTTTCCCCTCTGCTGTTCCTTTACAGCCTGAAAAGCTGCTTTATGTTCTTTTCAGAAAAACAGAAGACAACACACAGGGAACCTGATTTTTTTATTTGTCCCAACAGGGCAAATAGCAGCTCTAGGGAGGGGGAGATATTTGAGGTTGGAAAGGGGTGCAAGAGGAAGGAGTCCCCTTGTGACATGCCCCAGTCTAAATTGCCTCTCTCAGGCTGCTGTTCAGTAATGCGTTTACAGATTTTCCAGTGTACCATCTAGTTTGTCTCAGACTTCAAAGCTTCTGCTGTAGGGCTGTAAGTCAATAGCTGAAATTGCCAGGTGAAATCTCCATTAATAGATCTTTCAACATCTTATTAAGTTTGATCCTGAGGGCCAAAGACTCATACTTGGCATCCCTAGGTCGGTATGCTAAAACCTTAAAGAGAGGCCTTTTTCTCATGATAAGTGGGAGTGGCGGTATTTTGCCCTCCCACTGAACTAGTTTGGATTAACACCAACACAATGAATAACATCAAAATATGGACTGGGAGGGCAGGAGTTGCTATTAGTCTTGTAAGCCAGTGGCCAAGTGACACATTGAATGTAGGATGAACAGGAGGTTGGATCACCAAGTAGATTTCACTTGCCCAAATCTGGATACCACATGCCCACTATCAACCTTTTCTTATATTTCCTGTCAGCTGATTTCCATCCCTGATGCTGACATGTTGCTAAACTGGGAGCCAACGTCACATAATCACACTTATATGTCCTTCTTGGCTGAAGAAGCCCGATTGGGATAAATTGAGATCAGGCTTAATCTGTGTTTGGACATGACGTTTTCTTTCAGTCCCAGGGCTCAGCTGTAATCGAGCCAATATACTTATTACACTTCTAACAAACAAAATTGAACTAATCAAGTTTTACACTGATGCTTAAATCAAAAATAGATTTTACCTATTTATATGCAAGTAGGGATAAAGGTTTACTGTACAACAAGTAAACCGGTATTTTTTATTTTTATAGTCATCGCTTGAATTTATAACTAATTTTCTTCCAATTTCCCCCAT